TTCTATTTTTTTTTCTTTCATTTCGATTGCATAAAATGCCAAAAAATGTGTTTCATGTGTTTCTAAACCAATATACTGAATAATTTTTTTTTTTAATTTTCTTCAAGATGACACTTTTGGGTTAGGTATATGACAAGAGGGGTTCTGATGATTAAACTTAAGAGCTAGTCCCCCCGCCCCTTAAATTGAAGGACCGAGTAGATGCAAAGGTGGACGGCTAAGATCTTGGCGTACCAAACTTGCATACAAGGAGAAATAGAGTAGCTACACAATATAGGATCCGAGACACCTATTTCTCAAACAAAATGCAAGAGAGAACTGTCAAATCTGGATGGTGCCGAAATTTGGAGATTGCTTGACCTTCCAAGTTATCTTGATTTGCACACTTTTTGCTATCTTTGTAATAGCATATGTATAGGTCTTTCACCCAGCGTTCCCTTCCTTATTTTGAGGAGGGAACTTAACCAACTTGAACCTTTGGAGGGAAGACCAAGTTAAGGCCTCTCCATATTGAGACAAATGTCTCATATTGACTAAGGATCTAGCCACATGGTCATCCAATCTAGAGTGGGTCAAATGGATATCCATTGACCCAATAAGAACTGGAATTTGGATCTAGAATAATCCAACAATATTGGTATCTCCATGCATAAAAACATTTTCAAATAAATTTATTTTTATAGAAAATAAATAAATAGGTAATAATTTAAAATGAATGATTGTGTGTAAGAGTGTTGCATGGAAATAACCATAAAATAATCATCTCCCATTAACATATGGCTTGTCACATGGCCATTGGATATTCCAATATGTTGAGGATTAAACGAGGGCCTATGGCCACTTTACCAACATGTTGAAGACAATTTTTTTCTTCTTTTACCCCTATTTGTCTTCCTATTTTAAGCAATGTTCAAAATTTCGATATGCATAAAATGCCAAAAAAAATGTGTTTCATGTGTTTCTAAACCATGATACTATTAATTTTCTTCAAGATGACACTTTTGGATTAGGTATATGGCAGGAGGGGTTCTGATGATTAAACTTAACAGCTAGACCCCCCCCTCCCCCCCCTAAATCTTGCTTGGGTTCAAAAACTGATGCATATCATATGATACACACTGATACATTGCGATATTTTTTAGGATAAAATAAAGGCCGAACCCGTACATTTTCTAAATTTCTCTCCTTTCTTTCTTTCTTTTCTTGAAGATGTTGATTTTCTATATATTTTTATATAAAGTTTATATTTATTTGATAAAGATTATTAGTAATCGCTTGAGGAAAATAATTTCCGGCTACTAATAAAACCCATGAATTGGAGTTTTACATCTCCGCTCCACCAGGAGCCGCCCCACAACACATCCCCGCCGTGTATTGTGAACATCTCCCGATGATAATACTAGTCCCAATAATGTCATCATCTGGAGATGTTCCCAATACATGGCGGGAATGTGCTGTGGGGCATTGTGGGGCGGAGATGCAATCTCCATGAATTGTCATAAATTTTAGATTTTATTTTAAAATCATATTGCATAAGTGACAAAGTGCTTCATCATCGCCTAACTTTGCCTTGGCTTCTTCACAATCATGCTCTAGTGGTAATCGGATTCCTGAATTGGCGTTTTCCTTACATAAACATAACAGATAATTCATCTTTATTCGCTCACTATCTGGTAGATTTTGCTCTCAACTTAGAATTTAAGCAAGTCTAGTTGGAGAATCTTCCACTCTATATTGGAGTCACTGTCTTGAACCTTGTTCCAAATTTCCAGATTGAATAAAATCCTTTTAGCAAAAAGAAAGGTAGTAGTTAGGATTTAGAATGGGCCTCATGTTTTAGCCTCAAAGGATTTGAAACCTGACGTGAAATGGTTTGGAGCTTGGACAGTACTAAAAGGGGTTTGGGTAATGTCGATGTTCATCAAATCTGGATTTGTTTTTAAGAGAGTATTTGAATCTTGAGGCTACAAAGTCTTATACCAATGTGCTCTATTTGTAGATTTTTTCTTAATGTATGCATTATATATGTGGAACTTCCTAAAATATTGGAGTGGGATTTTTTCTTTTCTGCTGTTGAAATGAATAAATCCAATAATACACACACACCAATTATGTTAGATCTGGTTTGTGTCCCGATTAACAATTGAATCGGTATCAGTTCGAAAGGTAAATTTCATACATAATATATAAGATAATTTTGATTAAAAAAATAAAAACACTTATTTTATGAACATACAAATAATTCACTTTTAAATATTATTTTTATTAAGGCTATATTATCAAAAATGAAGTTCTGAGTTGTTATTTTATAGGTAATTTGTGTTGTACGTGACAATTTTAGATAATAATAATTGTAATAATAATAACAATATCAAAGATATGTCTAAATTTTGTAAATTTCTTCTATAATCTTATATATATATATATATATATATAAATTTTAAAATTCCATTATTTAATTATAATATCATAGGTTAACCTAGACTATTGAATTCCTGGACCATTTTTCTTGAATGGAAAACATTTTCTTTTTCAAGACAATTTTATTTTTTGTGTTCCATTTCTGCCATTAATAAAAATAATTATATAGAGTCAGCTCTGCTATTCTAAGCAGTCTCTACCCCTAGTGTACACTGGCCAATCTAAGAATTCAAACATCCATCCATTTTAAGTGATGTCAGTCGTATGTCTTCTGTTCCAAGGAATCCTTTACAAGCAAACGGGTCCATGGGGTATTGTAGGAAAACCTAATTCAGTCGTAAACGAACTTGTACAGCAGGTTTGGCATGAATTATCTATGAACCTAGATGATCACAAATTGTCAAATCATGTTAAATGTTGTATTTTTTTTCTCTGTATTTGTATTTGTTTTTGTTCTTTTGGTTATGTTTGATTGCAATGCAAATAAATTTGTACTGATGCAAAACCATAATAGTGCAAATGATTTGAGTTTAAATGTTGACCTATTTTTGTTTAAAAGTTTAGCTTTTTTTGTTTGATTGCAGTACAGATGAAGTAAATTAAGACATGAAGTAGAATAAAGTAAAATCCAAAATAAAATTAAACAAGTAGAATTTGTATTTTTTTTACATTTACACTCTCATGCATTTGTATTAGTGCAAATAAATTTGCACTGCAATCATACATAGCCTTTGTTTCATAATTTTTTTTTATCTTTGGTGTAACATTAAGGTCCATTGGTGTTTCAAAAAAGAAACAAACATAGAGAAAACCTTATCAAGGGAAGAGTGGTGATGCATGAATGTGCTTTCATTGTGTGTAACCCTTCACAGGTTTAAATTTAGAAGTGTTAACACATTTTTTTTTTAATTTTATGAATTAATTTTCAATCCCGTAAGTGATAGAGATGTAGGTAGGGTGGAGTCAAAAACCCTCAAATTTATATCATGGTGGTATTCGAACCGTCTTTAATCCGAACGGTCAAACCGTTCGGCCTGGAAACCATCTAGGCAATTGGTTCTGTTTTACCCCAAACCTAGTACTTGGCCAAAAACCATTGAATCAGTCAATGGCCCACTGACCCAGTAGTCAAGCCATTGACTCATTTTACCCATTCAACAGTTTTTTGCCATTTTTAATTTTAATTAATTTTTTAATTTATTTGTCAGAACGGGCCATCCGTTCAAACTAGATGGTCCAACCATCGACCCGAAAACTGATGGCCAGAACAGTTCTAATTCCGGGTTGTTTTTTAAAACATTGATTTTTATGAATTTGTACAGTTACGGACAAATGAAAAAAATCTATTAGGATTTAGGGGATAATGTAACATAAGGTGCGGATTTGAAACAATACCTTAAGAAAACCAATAAATAAAAAGGGCTTTTTATAATTCAGTCCACCCCAGAGTGGAGCTAATATTTCTAGGGGTGGACTGAATCCTGACCGTGGATTGATGCCAAATTAACGGACAGGATGCAATTTATAGGAGGACTATTAATAGACTAGCTAGGAAAGGCTGAAATTTCAGATTTCTGAGGTGGATTGCAGTCCACTTATCCCTAAAAAAATTTGAAAAGAGGATAAATAAACCATAAAATTTCCAAAGAAAATAGAGACCTAGGTAGAAATAGAATTGATGATTGACCGGCCCATCCCTGGCCCGGAAATTTCTGGGTCAGGACAGAATGGACAGATGATTTTCTTCCAGGCTCAGGGGAAGAGAAGGATGCTTATGTCAAAAGGGTGCATATGATGATGCCAATGCGTCATTGTCCCATCGGCGGTGGTTCTGTGATGTGATTACAGTAGCTGATCAAGTCAAGATTACTAAGCAATTAATTTATTGATTAAACAGATTAGACATTTAAAAACTTGCTTATTTTTGTGAGAAACCCTAAATGGCTATCTTAACAACCCCACTCCTCCGATAAGCTATAGAAAAAAAAAAAAACAGAAGAAAAATTAAATATATATCCCCTAATTTAGTCTACCATAAAAGAAAAATTATGTTCTATATATTTATATGCTCTAAGTCTTTTTTTTTTCTTTTATCTACAAAAGATGGTTTGTAGCTCTGACACTTAAATTATTAATTTTCTTGGTAAAACATTATTGCAGAGAAAATTTTCTATAAAATACTCACTATTCATATATCTTAATTTGTCATTTTTTTTTCTAAATTTTAATTAGACTTTTTAAGAAAGGGTACATTGGAAAATTACTTAATACTGACGCATAATAAATTGGGGGACAAAGCATTCAATAAAGAGTGCATGGAAAACTATTGAATACTGACTGACCACAATTTGGGAAGAAATATTATTACTTGGTGTTCACTCTAAAAGTGAGCTCGACCAACAGCTGAGCAATTAGCCACGCCAAAATGAAAGGGGTTGTACAACATGAAAGTTACTTGCTTTCTCTGTTGTTACAGTAAAATCAACACCAACTCAACCAAACACCTCCAATCGACTCTCTTTATATATTGAACCAGACAGGGTCACATGTCTGTGCCAATCACATTTCTTTAGAGAGAAATGGGTGCTTCTCATCATCATCTTTCACTTGTTTCCACGGATGCTCTTCGGCTTTTGTCTTTCAGCTGTTTATGTCTCTGGCCAGGACTACTCGTGTTTGCCTCTACAAGGCACTACGAATTCCATGTATGTTTTAGTCTGCTTCTTAATTAGTTCTGAGTCAAGTTACTAATGAGCTATTTATTACTTGAAAGTCTTGAATATGGAGAAGATATATATTAAATATAGTCTTAGTTGATTTGTTTGACTCTTCTGGGTGAGATTCAAATTTGTGCTGCTTTAATTTGTAGATCAAATTACAAAACGTAACGAGATTGTGCCACACCAAGAGCATTATAACTGCAAACGGTCGGTTTCCAGGTCCTCGGATTGTCGCAAGGGAAGGTGACCGGGTACTTATTAAAGTGGTTAGCCATGTTCAAAACAATGTATCCCTGCATTGGTATGATATATCGATCCTTAATTGCACTCTCTTTAGTCTTTACGTATCAACATGCATTTGTATGCATGGGTTATTTATTAATAGAAATAGGGTTAATTGTATTCTGATAGCTTTACAAGGTTTTCACCTGGTGGATTGACAACAGGCATGGAATTCGACAGCTTCAGAGTGGATGGGCAGATGGACCGGCGTATGTGACCCAATGCCCCATACAAACAGGGCAGTCCTACGTTTACAATTTCAGCATCACAGGGCAGAGAGGGACATTGTTTTGGCATGCCCACGTCTCGTGGCTAAGATCGACCCTTTATGGACCCTTCATCATCCTTCCCAAGAAAAATGTCTCTTACCCCTTCCCCAAACCCTACAAGGAAGTCCCCATCGTTTTTGGTAACTAATTTATCAATTTGAATTAATTAATGAGATATTAATATATCTTTCTTCAGTACGTAGCTTGCTAGATCTCCAGCTGCTTGCTTTCACTAACATGCATGGAGCTTTGATTTGAGTTTTCAGGAGAGTGGTGGAATGCAGACACTGAAGCAGTGGTCACGCAGGCTCTGCAGTCGGGAGGAGGCCCTAATGTCTCCGATGCTTACACCATCAATGGACTCCCGGGGCCCTTGTACAACTGCTCTACCAAAGGTGTATATCATGAAATGAATGAAACATTCTATATATATAAGCTAGCTAGCTCCCTGCTCGGATAGAGATTTGAAGATGTTAATTTCTTTTAATTATTGTAACTGTTTCAATTCATCTGTTCTGTTTATCGATCGGCAGATACGTTCAAGCTGAAAGTGAGACCAGGGAGGACTTACCTCCTCCGCATGATCAATGCTTTAGTCGACGAAGAGCTCTTCTTCAGCATCGCCAACCACACCCTCACCGTCGTTGAAGCTGACGCCGTCTACGTGAAGCCTTTTCACACCGATAGACTCCTCATCGCCCCCGGACAGACAACTAATGTCCTCCTCAAGGCCAAACCCTTCTTCCCTAATGCCACATTCCTTATCGCTGCTAGGCCATACTTCACTGGCTTAGGCACCTTCGACAATTCCACCGTTGCCGGAATCCTTGAATACGATGATGAGCAACCATCCAATTCAACCGTTTCCGCCATTAACAGGAAGAAGAAGAAGCAGAAGCTTCCTCTCTTCCGACCAACCCTCCCTCCCATCAACGATACTTCTTTTGTGGCTAATTTCTCTAGTAGATTCCGCAGTTTGGCCACTACCCAGTTCCCTGCAAACGTCCCTCAGACCGTTGACAAGCGTTTCTTCTTCACAGTAGGACTGGGGACGAGCCCATGCCCGAAAAATCAGACCTGCCAAGGGCCCAATAATAGCACCAAGTTCTCGGCTTCCATCAACAATAATTCTTTTGCGCTGCCCAGCACAGCCATCCTTCAGGCTCATTACTTTGGGCAGGAGAAGGGGGTCTATACCACTGATTTTCCGGCGAACCCACCCTTTCCCTTCAACTATACGGGCACTCCACCGAACAACACAGTGGTAAGTAACGGTACCAAGGTTGTGGTGCTTCCCTTCAACACCAGTGTGGAGCTAGTGTTGCAGGGTACTAGCATTCTTGGTGCGGAGAGCCATCCCCTCCACCTTCACGGTTTCAACTTCTTTGTCGTCGGCCAAGGCTCCGGCAACTATGATCCTAATAAGGATCCACCCAATTTCAATCTAGTGGATCCTGTTGAGAGGAACACCATCGGCGTGCCATCCGGCGGTTGGGTCGCCATTCGCTTCCTGGCAGACAATCCAGGTGCGTATAACCTACACAATGCATGCATGCAATCAAAACTGGAGGCAGATCTCTTTTCATGCTAAGCAGAATTCTCTTCTGTTGCACTTGCACTACTTGTTTGGAACGAACTTGATTTTATTTTAAGATAAGGGAAAAAAATATATTGAGAAAAGAGAGAAAATATATTGTATACAAAATATACAATTATGTCAAAGACCCTCACCAACCCAGATTGTCAACAGCCAACCCGAAATCTACATCAACCACCTGCCAATCCAAAACAAGACCTACCTCTCCCTACAGCAATGAATTAATCTGTGGGAGTTTGTAACACTCGAAGTGTGCCTTTGAGACATCCTCATCCAATGATTCCTCCTCTACCCCACACCACTCATCTGATCATCAAGCTCCATCTCCTTTAGAATTTCTCTCGCTTGCTCTTCCCTTCTTACGAGAAAAAAAAAACACCTAATTTCTTTTACCAGCATGGGTTTTTGCTTTTTCAACCTTATTTCCAAAAGATTTGATCCCATCTCTTCACTCTCCACTACAGTCTTACAGCCACGTCTTAGTCTGCTATTTCTGCTAAAGGAACCTGAGAGATTAGAATGAACTTTAAGCTGTGTTTGATTTGAAAGAAAAAGTAGGGAAGCCTATACAAGATTTGTTAAGGTCTCTCTGCCTTTCCCTAGCATTTCTTTCAAACCAAACACAGCCTAAGACTCTCAATAACACCCAAAGCGAGCTACCGCTTCAGCCCTCACATCTACCGCACCTGGCATCTCCGAAAATGTTTCACAAGGAAGGAAGGAGACCCTTTCTTCTTACATATATCCCCTTCTTCCACAAACCTTGTTTTGGTATCCTCTTGGCCCCAAACACTTTGTTGGGCTTACTTCTTTCTGGACCCAGAACCTCTTTCAGACCGTCCGATACTATCTTAACTGGGACTACTGTCTTAATTTTTGGGTTTATTTACATTGTTTTGATGGCCTCGATTAGTTAAAATTTTGGAATCATTTTGATGGTTGATATTAGTAGACCATATAAATGGCTTCAATTTGTTGATTTCGTACCACATTTGAATGGAGTAAATTAGTTTAAATCCTAGTAAATAATTTGAATTGCTAAGATTAATTGATTAATCCATGGTTCAAAATACCAATACGTATTGGGTTGTATTGGCTGATAAGTATCTTATGCTACTACATGTAGTAGCCTTTCAATATGCTACTACAGTGAGTGTTTTGGGGTCTGACCTGGTATATCAAGGGGTAGATGGGCCTTAAACCGATCCCTCTGAATCAGTTTGAAGAAAAACTATATATATACCCCAACCGATATATCGGCTATATTGATATTTTGAACCTTTGACTAATCTTAGAAAACCATTTTATGATGGCCCATATCTTTGGCTATTTTCTACAGAACTTTGTTCAGTTGGCTTTTTTCTTAATAAAAATCTTGGTGCTGCAAAGGTCGGATTTTATTCAAATCATAATACATTATTTGCATAGCCAAAATTTATTCTTTGCACTTAATATACGTTTTGGTATCCCATATATTTGGATTAATTCAAGGATAACCCAAATTTGTTAAATTTTTGATACACCGCTTGGATGGTTGACCTAATTCATTGGTTTTAAGAGACCATTTTAATGTTCTATATTTTGGGTTGATTGGGTTGATTGGGTTGATTGGACACATCACTTGGATGGGTTAGATATCTTGGTACATCATTTGTAAGCTTGGAATTGACTGATTAACCTATTGCACATTATTTGGATTTTCAGGATAAGTTATTTGGCCTGCCTTTTATTTTTTAAATTAATTTAAAGGATCAGTTTAAGGCTTGGTGGAGTATCAAAAGGTCAGACCCCAAAACAGTCATTGTAGGAACGTATCAAAAGGTCATTGATATGATTATGTACAGGGGCGGAGCCAGAAATTTTTTATGAGGGGGGCCAAAACTTATGAATGGGCCATAGGGAGGGCCAACCATTAAGTGAAAAGTGAGGAAAAGAAACAAACTTACATAGAAAAATGTATTGAATGTACAAATTTCTGGACCATACGGGGGGCCATGGCTCCCCTGAGTCCCCCCTAACTAGCTCCGCCCCTGATTATGTATCGGTCAATATGGTTTGATACATTGCTATATATCCTCCACCCCCAAATATATCCCTGTTATTTACCTACTTTTATATATTATCAACAAGGTATTAAATACAAAGTAATGACTTTGATTATTTGCATGATGGCTTGTGAATAGGGGCATGGTTTATGCATTGCCACTTTGAAATCCACCTAAGCTGGGGCTTGAAGATGGTGTGGATCGTGTTAGATGGCGAACTTCCAAATCAGAAGTTACCACCTCCACCTTCGGACCTTCCCAAGTGTTGATTTTGATGACCATGTACTTGAATTCTGCTCGCATGCCTCGTTGGAGTGTTTCTGTGATATTTTTTTGCTTTGTGGTTGGTAGTTTAGAGGTTTTCTCTTAACCCTCCATGTCCACATCACCATTAATCTGATCTTGGATTGGAGAATAACAGTTGAAAAGTCGAAGTGAAAAAAAAAATAAAATGACAAACTTGTAATTGTGATGCCCATTTCATTGCCAAATTGAGTTTTCTTCTGTCATACACCAATCTTTCATTTTATTGAAAATCTTCAATTTTCTTTAATTGTCTCTAGTTTTTTCCTTGAATTTTTGAAAGTTGACCAATTTAGTAGTGAAACAGTTGGTTCAATCGTTCACATCATCCATGCATAAACTTGATGTCATAATATACTATATTAAAATTTTGAAGCCAAAAGAAAAAGGAAAAGAAAAGTTTAGGAGATCTAGATATATGAAGTTCCTATATAGCACCTTTAAAATAAACAAAAGGAAAAACAGTGTGTGTGAAGAAAGATTCGTCAAGGAGACAAAAGTTATATCTGATTGCGTGGGCATTTTTTGAAAAATGTCACTACATTAGCACCACATAGGCGTTGGCATTTATTGTGCATGAAATCACTGTTTGATAATATTTATCAAATAAACATTAAAAAAAGAAACGCTTTAATTTATGTGCATGAGACATTTGGAGAAACTTCAAGTTCTTGTTTCCCCAACATGGGTATTTATTGAAAGGAAATGCTTATGTGGTGATCTTTAATTTAAGGTGGAAAGTAACTTTATGGGGTATTATTTGAAACACTCATAAAACATCCAACAAAACAACTAACAAAAGCAATAAACATTTAGGCCCTATTCACTTTTCGATAAGTTACTTACCCAGGTAAATGCAATTACCTGGGCAAGTTTTTCCTGGGAAACACTTACCCGAGTAAGTGCATTTACCCGTGTTCTTTTATTTCCTACGTAAATAAGGTAATGACCATTTTACCCATAAAGATACATTATTAAAAGGGGCATTTTTGCCCCATTCAAGTGTTAGCAACTGTCCCCCTAGGTGCGAAAGTTATTTACCCACATGAGAGATGGGTATCACTTACCCGGGTTAGTGATACCTAGGAAAATAAACTTTCCCTGGTCCCCACACAAATCTGAAAAACGAACATGGGATTCTTGATCAATGGTAACCAAAAACCCATTGACCAACTTTTCCCCTCTCAAAATCCAAAAAAAGAATGCCACCTTAAAGTAATGTTTTTCAAATAAATGCTTATATGAGAAACACTACATCAATAAAAATGCCCACTAAACCAAACTCAATTTTAGTAAAATTGAGCATCTTCACAACTTGCTCAATAAACAAATTAATCTCATTTACTTTGAAAGTTTCCCTCATCATCTGGTTTAAAAGAATGCTTAGCTTATCATTAGAAAAGCACACCACTAATGTAAAATATGAATAGTGATCTCCAATTAGTTCAACCATTTTATGGCCCATTTGGGAGGGCTTATCTTTGATTCAGCTACTTTTTTCTTTTCCTTGATGCTACACCACAGAGTAGCTCAACCCAAGTCTCCACTACAAACAGCCAGAAACCTTATCAACTGAGCCAGTTAGCACCTTCAACTCTGGTTCTCTCTCTCTCTCACACATATACACACAAAAAAGTTCAATTGCTTTAATGAAAGTCTAAACTCTGGAGGCTACGTATGACTGTACAATAACCAAATTTTGGCTTTCATTGTTTTTATCAAACAATGCTTATAAAATTCTCAGATGAACCCCACCCACATAGTAAAAGCCCTTCCAAACGACCACTTAATAGGCTGCAACTTGATAGGCCCAACTAGAACTAGAAGGCTTCCCAACCCAACCAATCGAGAGCCCACAAAAGTCCAAGTTCAGCTTGAGTTGTGTTGGATTAGCTCCTACTATGCTTAGGCTAGCGGCTAGAAAACTCAGGCTTTTCCCGTATGTTGGGCTGGCCCAGAATCCAAGGTCATGGTCTTAGAGTTGGGTCTTAGTTTTATGCTGCATGTGGCATTCCTTATTTTAAGGATTTAACCATCCAACCTGCATTCCTACTTAATATCTCATACATAATACATTTAGCCCCATTCGCTTTTTGGTAAGTTATTTACCCGGGTAAATGCAATTATCTGGGTAAGTTTTTCTCGAGAAACACTTATTCAGGTAAATGCATTTACCCATGTTCTTCTATTTCCCAAGTAAATAAAGCAATGACAATTTTAGCCATAGAAATCCATTATTAAAAGGGGCATTTTTTTCCCACTCAAGTGTTGGTAACTTACCCCCTTATGTGGGAAAGTTATTTACCCACCAAGAAGATGGGTATCACTTTCTTAGGTAAATGATACCAAGAAAATAAACTTTCCCTGGTCCCCACATAAAACTGAAAAAAGAACATGGGATCCTTGGTCAATGGGAACCAAAATCCCATTGACCAACTTTCCCCCGTCTCAAAATCCAAAAAAAATAGAACACCCCCTTAACTAATAACATTCATCAACAAATCTTTTATTTTTTATTTTTTAATAAGGCATTTGAATACTCATATGTGGTGTTTGGGATTAATACACTTCACAACCGATCTATTCCACGAAGTTAATTGCCATATTAGCATTTTATGCAGAATTAGGAGTACATGACATTTAATAATGTTGAGTCATGTAGAAATGTTTGATTTGTGTACAATTTTGGGTAAAAGGTTGTTGCTGCGAAATATGGAGTTGTGGGCAACAAAGTAATTTCTACCATCCGAGGTCAATGGGTCTAACCTACTAAGAGAAAGAATATGTCAGAGGCCTTGAGAGTTATTCCAGGGGCAAAGACTTCGACAGTCAAGTTAGTAGAAGGCTACGAGGGGTCAGACCAAGCAAGAGAGGAGACTTAGAGCTTAAGTTCCAGCATATTTACCTCAATGTGGGAGCCCCTTTTAATAGTTGGAGTTGCCTTAGAGGAGAAGCAGTTAGGAGCAGGTGGCGGCAATTGGTAGTGGTTGGTGATGAACGACCTGGATACACCTGACAACGCCACATGTCAAGATCCTCGGGTTGGCTAGATATTCCAACATCATTTGTCCCCCACTTTTGAGGCTGTAACAATCGAGGCCAGTTGGCGAATTGTGCGGAGGCCTCACCTTCGGCTAAAGAGAGTATGGTAGATATGCGTAGAGGCATTGGCCCCAACTACAGAGTTCTTCTCAACAACTGTGCGGCAACTAGAGGTCAACATGGTCCTTCTCGGGGACCGCTAGTCTTGGATACAACATTCAGTGGATTCGGTCTATGATACACTTTTAGACAAGGTCGTTGAGGTATGTGCGCACTTCTTCGAGTCTATTGTGTCACCGAGGTCTTCTTGGCGAAATGTGACTGACGATTTTCCTTTTTCATGTGTAGATGGCCTCTTGCTCAGTCGGCCTTTGCGATAAAGTCAAGGTGCTGCTTTAGTAGCTTCAGTAGGCACAAGAGGAGATTAAGCGCCTAAAGTAGCAGAGGCCGAGGCACAGTCCAATCGGGAGGCGGCCGAGGGCCAGCACGCGACGAGCATGAACGTCGCAAGAAGGTCGAGGTCAAGGTGGAGAATAACAAGGAGCTCGTGAAGGAGCTAAAGTCCTCATTGGCATCAATGGAGCAACGGTTGAAGGAGTCAGCACAAAGGCAGTCAAAAAGTATAAGATCTAGGAGGAGCACGAGATGGACCTGACCACCTTTGCCTTCTAGGATTACTTAGAGGGCTTCGATGACCACAAGGCTCAAGTAACAAACCCTTCCAAGCTTCGGCATCGGCCAGCTGGATTCATTCGCTACTAAAGCTCAACAGATAGTAGATATACTGGAGACATACGAGAACCCAATTACCAACGCTACTGTTGATGCCACTCCCCAGGCCACCGCTCAGATTAGAGGGGGATAATAAACTATTTTTTTACTTTCTTTTGTTTGGGCTTGCGTGCCCCTGAAACTTGTATACTTTTTCTTCTTTCTTTTCTGTAAGGGTCGATGCCTCCCCCATAAGAGGCATTTTTTTTGTAAAGACACTTGAATAAATGGAACTTAAGTTTCTTGCCAAAAGATGCTCTTCCTTTCTTCTTTTCTCTTCTTTCTCTTCTTCATTTTTTGTTCTGTGCAAGGGGCCGATGCCTCCCCCCGAAGAGGTATCTTTGTAAAGAAACTTGCCATCTTTTAATAAAGTAATTCTTTATTGGAAAAGTGTTATTTACTTAGCCTTTCGTGATGGCATTTCATATTAAAGTCCTTTAGGCCGATGCCGACACCACAAGCTGCTTGATAGTAGCTACCAAAGACTTGGAACTCCTTGCCTTAGCAAAAAATAAGGAAGGTGATTGTGTCTGAGGCCAACATCATGCTCAGTGCATCATTACGCAAGGGTTTTGTGGTCGAGGTCACATGTGGTTGCCTTAGTGGGGACGTGATGTTTACTTAATGTGTCATTCATCATGTTTTTTATTAAGTAATTAGCCGATGTTGGTTCTTTGGTCTCCAAAGGCTCACTTCTTTAAGGGTCTTTGAGGCCAACGCTGAGGTCAAGGCCTAACTTATCAATAGTTGTTGAGGTTCTGAAAGCTCTTGCCTTAGTCACAGAAGGTCAAAAGGCAACTAGGCGTATGATTTGCAAAGTGTTGTAAGCCTTGAGCCGACGTCTGATCCGAGCGTATAACCTTAAAGAAGGTTGTATGCTACATTTGGCTGGCCAAGGGGGCTGCCATCTGGTCCAGGCGTATAACCTTAAGAAAGGTTGTATGCTACGATCGAGAGGTCCTGGCAGCTAGAGGGTACAAGAATGTTTACATAGAGAAAGATCCAAGATGAGAGAAACTTGTACTTTTCATTTATAATTTTCCACTAAAATAATTACATTGCTATTAATAGTACATCCGGAGATTTTCAGAGTTCCATGTACGAGGTTCAGGTCTTCCACCTATCTACTCCAACCGAAAGGTGTTGGGTCCTTCTATTTGCTTGATTCTCTAAGGCCCGTCCTAGTTTGGGCCAAGCTTTCTAACCCCAGGCTCAGAAACCATGACTTTTCTGAGGACAAGATCACCTTCCTTGAAGTAACACTCTCTAGCTTGGGAGTTGTAGTATCTTGTAACTCTTTGTTGGTATGCCATGACTCTGATTTGGGCTTGCTCTCAAACACCTTCCAATAGCTTGAGGTTGATCCTTAACTCTTCACTATTCTCAGCTTCCT